GAAAGTCTGAGTTATAGCTGAAGTCAAAGAATAGAGAAAGGAGAGGGTCAAGATTAGAAAAGCTATCATGGAGATTAGACAGTAGTTTCTGGAGTTATTAATTAGGAGACCAATGGGGAGAGATGACTTAAAGGCAAGTTCTACTCTTAGTTTTCTAAATAGTAAACTTAGTTGGAGAATGGGGTTATTCACCAGAAAACATAAAGAGAGGAGGCACAGGTTTGGGGAGAAGCATAAAGATGTGTATCCAGGTAGAACTGATATTACCTATGAAAAAAAAAAAAAAACACACAAAACTATGTGCTTTTAGATAGAGATGTGAATATCCGAGAAGAATTCTATGCAATTGTGCCACTTGAATCACAGCTCTGGATACAGACGCTGTAATTGCTTCTCATCTTCTATCTAATAGATAAACAATCGTTGACTTCGGATGCTTTAGATATGCCTATTATTTGTAACATTTTCGAAAAAGTGAGAACTTGGTAAACATGTTGCTCTAAACAGAAACTGTTCTTAGACCTGCAGTGTAATATAAACTTGTTAATAGTCACTTCTTGGATCGTTTTACTTTTTGAAAACCTAGCTGAGCAGATAATGGGCAAAGCGTGGTTGTTGATAATTATACCAAGAAATGATAGTAAACGAGTTCTTAAAACCTGTAAACTATACTGAGTTTAAAATAGGTGGTTTGAACACTTGGAAAACATTAGTTCTTCCTCCTTGAAATCCAATCCTGGCAAAACAGTAAAAAAGGTATAAAGTGGACCACGTCAAAAACCGCATACCCCTTCCTCTCTAATCACACCGCCTCTTTCTGTTTTGCTTGTCAGATGACCAAGTCCAACTCAAGTCAACTTTTTGGTCTTGAGGACCACAACGACAGTGAACACAGAAACGAAAGGGGTTCTCGGCTCCGCAACACTAACAGTTCCATTTCCTAGCCCGTCACCTCCTCAGCTTGATGTGCCGGCGTCCCAGATCTTGGCGGCGACCCGGAGCGTGGAGGTGGAGAGAAAAAGGAGGATGTCCCTGGGCGGATCCACCGGACGCTAACTTCCTCGTCCTCCCGCCACTGCGCCCACACAGCCTGTGGCCAGCGCCGTCCGTGAGCTGCACTGGCCCCCGACGCCCGCCCGACTCCCGAGTCGTCTCCAATTGGCCGTCGGGGAACGGAAGCCACAGTAGAGCAGTGAACCCGGAAGTGCTTCTCGGCAGAGGCCCGGGCGACTCTTTTGAATGGAATCGGGCTGATTCATCGCCGGTTCGCGGAGCCAGAGCGGAGCAGAGTCTGAGCTGCTGCCGCCGCCGCAGTCGCCGCGTCAACACTGCGTCAAGTCTGGGGTCCCACCACAGCCTTCCGCCCTCGTCCGCCTAAAGGTAGGACCGGGAAGGCAGGCCCGGGAGGTCCCGGCAGGCAGGCGCGCTAGGCCGCTGCCAGCCCGGTGCTTTCCTGAGTCACGTTGCCCAGCTGAGTTGCCACTGTAGGCCCGGGCCCCGAGGGAGGAGCCCAGGCCCTTCTCACTCCTCTTCGCCGCCTCCCCGGTGTCTCTGTCAGGGCCAAGTCTGGATGTGGTCTTCATCCTTTTCTCCTTGGCTAAATTCGTCAGGTTTTGGGAGTTTCTCTTTCATATGCAGGGTGAACCCTTGCTAATGGCCTATTTGTGCTCTCGGTATTTGTTCCTGTGTTGAAAAACTTAAAAGCAGGCAGGGGAAGCAAGGGAGAGAGGATAAAACGAACTTTTCCCATTGAGTGTAAGTTTGCTTTATACAATTCCTTTCCTGTAGGCTTCCACCCTTTTTCTCAGTCAGGTTTTCAAATTCTTTCGAAAAAGACAAAAATTCCCGGAGGTAGACTGGTTTTTCCTTTTGAATCTCGTCGAAAGCAGTGTGGTTATAACTGCTATGCTCATTAACTTGTTTTCAGTATTGTTCTAATTGAGTAGTTGGTGACTTGATTACATTTGCTCTTTTCAGTGAAGTAGAAATCTGCTAGTATGTGTTACTTCTTGCAACTTAATTTTTCTGGGAACTTAGCTCTGTATCTGTCAAAAGAAGTGTAAACTTTTCTAAAAAGTCTGAGTGTGTAGAAACAGAATTAAAGATTCTTGAACTTAAAAGGGGGTCAGCAGTTGGTTAAGGGTTACATGGGAAAGGCATGGAGAGGCTTTAAAAATGAGCGTAGAAATATAGTATCTTGAAAGTGATTTTTTCCACTGATGACAAATACATCTTTAGTGCTTCTGACTTAATGTTTTAGTAAAGCTATAAGGAAGGCACTGATAATATTGAAATAACAAAAAGCTGAAAATAGTTTTAGTGGAGTTGGTTAACATAATGGTGGCCTTATCGTGTGAGGCTACCAACTGGCTCATTGGGAGTTTAAATTATACATGTTTCCAACAAATTACATTGGTTTTTGCACATTTATAGAGATTAAGCTACATCGTTGCTCAGAATTAACTGTAGTTAAGGGGTGTTTAGCTAATGTTTTCTTGTATTTGTCCTAGAACAAAAATAAATCTTGCCAAGAGAAGAAAGTTTTGAAGCCTTGTTCTTGCACTGAAGCCTCTTCTTGGGCTTGGATAGTATTTTTCCCCCTAAAGGTGCTTGTTAAATTATAATTTAAGAGTTCTTCAAAAACTCTTGCAGAGTTTTGTGAAAAAGTATTATGAAAAATCAATGCACTTAGAAAATTTTTTGAGCCAATATAAATCTGTACTTTAACTTTTTATGAACTTTTTGAAGTTCCCTTGTATATTGCTGTTTTAATCGGAAAACTGGATTTTAACTTCTCTGACATGGGGTCATTCTGTTTTTATATTTGTCATAAAAACCATGTGCTTAGTAGCTAGGTTAAGAATAATTTGTTTGAAAAACTAGTAATGAGAAGCAATGTGCTTTAGTTTTTGTTTTCAGTTTTATAGCAGTCTTCATTTTATAATTCAGTGTCCATCTGTGAAAAACTTGCCTGAATACTTATGTGATTTCTTGCTCACTTTTCATATACTCTGCTATACTTATTGACACTTGACATTTGTTGGAATCATTTGACATTTCATATTCTGCTTTGTGGTACTTTAGTATCCCTATTTGTGAAATGATAGTATTGGATGTATTGGGTACCTAAGATATTCTTGCCATTATATCTAATGTTTTGGAGGTATTCTCATGATAAATTTGCAAGGTAGCCTCATTTCATAGATGAGATCTAGTGTCTAGAAGAAGGTAACTCTGCCAGATCATTGAGTGAGTTTGTGGTAAAGCAGAGAATTATTTTTTCTTTTATTTTATTGATTTTTTTTCATTTATTTCAATTTGACCAGAGAGAGACATACACAGAGAGAGAAGGGAAAAGTGAGAAATCAGACTGCCAGGTCCAGGACTTGAACTGTGATGACTTAGCCACCATGCCACCTGTTGGTCCCCAAAGCCCATAATTTAAGTCTAGGTCCACGGCTGTAGCCTTTCCCACTCCCAACTACTGTCCTTGCACTTTATCTATCTACCTACCTACCTACATATATCTATCTATACATACACACATATATATATATGTTTGTATACGTTGTTTTTTTTTTTTGAGAGAGAGAAAGAGAGAATTTTGGTGTAGGGTGCATCTGTTCCTCAGAGAGACAAAAAGTGAGAAATCACCCCCGGGGGGTGGCCACACCACAGTCCCTTCTCCTCCATTCTCCTCTTGGTATTTTGGGCATGCACACACATGTACCCAGTGTGAGTTTTGAGGCTCTGAGTCTGGGACTTGAACCGTGGTTGACTCCATGGGAGTCTAGTAACAACCATTATGCCATCTGCTGGTCCCCACTTTATATATTTTTAATGGGTTTATGTCATGTCTACCTGCTCATTCCCAGATGATAAATTCTATTAGTGTAAGCCATTAAGTTTCTTTAGTACACAAAGTAGTACTTAATAAATGTTTAACTTTAATGCTGTAATTAGGAGACGCCACAGTAGGTTTTTAAGATAATTCATTTACTTCTGGAGAAAAACTCTCACTTTCAAAATCTTATTTATTTTAGTGATCTCTTTCTAGTTCCACTGAAAAAAGTCTTTAAGAAAGTAAAAGAAGTTTCCAATTGCTTTAAACAAATCAGAGTAGAACAATAGTAATGCAAATAGATCACAAATATGGAGTATTTTTTTTCAACTTAGCATCAATCTAAGATGTAGTATTTAATTTCTGAATGGATTGGGGGGTGAAAAGTAAGCAATGAACTAGAAAACAGAATGACAGCCTAAACTGCTAAGGACTTCATGATTTTGTTTGAATTTTATGAATTATTGGGACACTGGTGTCCCTGATGAAAAATGTGAAAAACTGAAAAAAACCTATCACATTTCAAATCCAGATTAATATAATTTTGAAGGATTGGCTTTTTAGGGTTAGCCATGGTTCTGTACATTCTTTTAAATGCCTGAGAATTGATTTATTTAAAATCTAACATGAACATGCTCTAACAACAATCAGAAATTAAAAGAGAAAGAAAAAGTGGAAAATCATTAACCTTTAAAGTACTGACACCTATTTTGTACTATAATATTTTTACCAATTAGAATTCTAAACATTACTGTATGTATGGCATTATGTTAGGTATAGTTAACACTTCATTCATATCATCTGATAATGTTTTAAAAGTTATTATCAGGAATGATCTTTTGGGTCCTTTTTTTTTGATAGGTGAAAACATTTTATTTAGATCCATAGACTTTTCTATTGCCTTTATTTCTAAGAACTCAAAATGTTCTCTTTTATGTTCCCTTTACCTTTGTGAATCTCTTTGCTGAGTTCTGTAAAATAGAAATCTGTTTCTAATGTGATTAATTTAGTACTGTGAAATACTCCCAGTGTTCTGAATCCCACTAAGTGGCAAACTGTGAGGAAGAAGGATTTGTCTCTGTGGCTATGCTTATAGGAAAGTGGTGCTGATGACAGCAGCTAGTAGCAGCAGCCCTCTAGGAGAGAGACAAAGAGAAAGCAAGAAACCACTCCCCAGGGAAGATGGCCAATCCACCCCCCAGGGGAGATGGCCACACCTCAGTCACTTCTCCTTTATTCTCCTCTTGGGATCTTGGGCATGCACGTGCATGTGCTTGGCATGAGTTTTTGTTTTTTTTTTTTAAGGGGTTTTTGCTGTAGGGCGCGTGCGCTCACCAGACAGAGAGAGACAGACAGAAAGTGAGAAATCACAACCCCCCCAGGGGGGATGGCCACGCTGCAATCCCTTCTCCTCCAATCTCCTCTCGAGATCGTTGTCATGCATGCACACGTGCCCGGTGTGAGTTTTAAGCCACCGGGTCCGGGATGCAAACCGCGGTCAACTACGTGGGAGTCCAGCAACATAGCCATTACGCTAACTGCTGGTCCCTTGGCATGAGTTTTAAGCCACAGGGTCCGGGACTTGAACCATGGTTGACTACGTGGGAGTCCAGCGACATAACCATTATGCCATCTGCTGGCCTCAGTAGTAGTATTTTAAAGTTTGCTACAGGGCACTTGTGCTCACCAGAGAGAGAAACAGAGCGGAACAGTAAGAAAATAAGCCGACAGGTCCCAAACTCTTAATTGCAGTCGGCCACAGTGGGAGTACAATGCCTATACCATCATGCCACCTGCTAGTCCTGTGTTCCATTTTTTAAAAATGTCTTTTGTCTTCTATAATTTTCTAAACAGCTCTGAGATGGATGTTATCATTATCTTCATCTTGCAGATAAGGAAACTGAAGCTGGGAGAGGTTATTGACCCAAAGACATAGATGTAGTAAGTGTTAGGACCAGTATTTAATCTTGGCACCTTGACTGCAATCATAGCACTTAACCCTTATAAATTACGAAAATTAGTCATCATCATTTATTGTCTGGGTCCAGTGGATCTTTTTTAGTTTTTTACACCTTTCAGTTATTTTATAGATAATTATGGGTATAAAAATAGAGGGCTAGTGAAGAATAGTTATACTAGAAATTTTAATAAAGCCTAAACACAGCAAATATAGATTTTTTATTTTATTATTATTATTATTATTTGGTATAGAAAGTATATATCTGAGGTTAGCAGGTGGCACACTAATTGGAACACTGGACTCCAACATGGCTGACTGCTGTAGGAGTCTGTGGACCTGGCGACTTGAAAATCACTCTGCTGGGGCCAGCAGATGGCGTAGCTGTTATGTCGCTGCACTCCCGCATGGCTGACTGGTTAAGCCCTGGACCCAGTGACTTGAAACTCATACTGGGTGCGGGTGCATGTGTACCCAGGATCCCAGAAGGAGAGTGGAAAAGGAGTTGAGCATGCCATTCCCCCTGGGGGGGTGATTTCTCACTTTCTCACTGGCACTGTCTCTTTCTGGTGAGCACACATGCCCTAAGATAAAAACTTTTAAAAATCACACTGCTTGGCCACTGCACGGCCATCCCTTCTGGGGGATGCTTTCTCTCTGTCTCTGTCTCTGTCTCTCTTGGGCAAGTCCGTGAACCCTCTAGCAAATCTGGGGAAAAAAAGAAACATTAAAAAAAAAAAGTATATACCTGATATAGGCACTATTGTTTGAATGTAATTAACTGCTCATCAACCATTGTTCGTGAATCTGGAACATCTCTGTCTTATAAAAGATCAGTTCTGGCGACTGGGTGAGGGAAGGCTTTAGAAACTTCTTGGAAAATGAGATTAAAGTCCAAGTTCAGGGACCAGCAGGTGACATAGTGGTTAAGGTACTGGATTCCCACATGGCTGGCCG